TTTTGTTCTGGGTTTTTTACCCTGTGACATGTATTAATAAATTCATAAATTCTTTCGCATCGGTGGACGTGCGCGCGAACGTCTGTCCCTCAACACACTCCTCACTGTGGTTTTGGTGAGTACATAGTTCCTACGGTCGTTGCGTAGGATGTGTACCAGCTTACACTGCAGTGCATACTTGAGTACTACAGTCGTGAGCCGTCTCCTCCGCTTCATTGTCATTGTTACAGCAATGATGATAACACTTTGTTTCACTGTTCATTCTCCTTCGACGCTTGCTTAGCGGCGTAATATGCCTCTTTGTATTTGATGCATTCCGCATCACTGATGCCTTGTATGGTGTTCCTGAATCTCCGGAATTTGCTTCCTTGGAGGGGCTTGGTGAAGTAATCGGCGATGATGTCTTCTGTCGGGCAATATTCCACCGTCACTTCTCCCTTCTTGATCCTGTCCGTGACAAAGAAGTATCGAATGTTAATGTGCTTGGTCCGCTTAGTGCTCGACCGCTGCCCATTCCTCTCCAGCTTTATTGCACTTTCATTGTCCTGATAAATCACGTTATTCCCACCCAGGCCTGTGCCGGCCGCTGGTTGGTCATCCCTGCTGTCAGCCACGTTGTCGGTCATGTGCTGTTGTTGGGCTTGCAAGAAATATCTGGCCCACAGGATAAAGGTCATGTTGTCATCAACCCCCACCACTTCAGCCTCCGTTGAGCTCTTTGTGTTCAGCTTCTGTTTGGTGCATGTAGTGATTGCTGCTCCCGTGCCGAAAGTCATGACTCCTCCTGAGTGACTCCGCATGTCATTATGTACGGCAAAAGCCGCATCAACATGCCAATACACATTCCCAGTCCCATCCCATCCCAGTACAAGAGGGATGTAGGGTGTCGCTGCTAGATAGCTCATCACCCGTCGCAGCTTTTTCCAGTCGTCCTGGTCAGGACCGGACACCCGAGTGCACAGGAATGCTACTGTAGTTTGAATGTCGGGCCGCGATCTCTTTGCCATGAAAAGTAGCTTGGCTACATAGTGGTGGAACTTGTCAGCATCCGCTTCGCTGAGCTTTTGTGCTTCCTCATTCACTTTGAACAGGTGTTCGGCCGCAGGTGTTGCTGCTGTACCGCCCTTCAGGCTGTTGGGAAGATTCTGGAGGATTTCCTCGAGGTAATCAAACATACTGAACTTGACCTTCCCTTCATCGGAGTAATCTATGGTCATCCCCACATAGTCATGTATCTTCCCTCGGGTCTCTGTCAATGGGGATTCCTTGCCGAACTGTTCATTCAACTGCCGTATAACATCACTAACTACTGTTGCATCTGCATGTGAGATCTTCAGGTCATCAACATGCCACACGATGGTGCACTGCTTCCCGTTGATCACCTTATTCACTGTACATGGATCATATGGGTTGAGTTCAAATCCCCACTCCTCAAGCTGGCCATACAGCTTCTCCCAGAACAGCAATGCAGCTCGAAGGGTCCCGTATATGGCCTTTTCTGCCTTGGTGAACAGAGTCTTCTTCCCATTCCTGTTGACCAAGTATTTCCTGTACATCTTAGGGTCCACTCTACATAGCAGCTCGGCCATGGTTCCATCGAGCCTGATATACACATCCTCACCCTCTGGCATTGGTGTTTGCAGGAAAGCTCCGGGGATATCTACGGTGGCCACGTCCCTACCCTCAATTGCATCGATGACACAGGACAGTACCAGCGCATACAGTGACACAGTTGGTGATGCTGCATCCTCTTTGCGAATGTATTCACGTTGCCTCCTCCCATCGGCGCATCCCCTCCCTTTGATGGATGTATCCCTTTTCCGCTTCAGGAACATGAGATAAGGTAGGGCTTGTGTGACCATCTCTCTAGTCATTTGCTTTGGGTCCAGGGCTGACACTACTCCTCTGTCGTGCAACTGTTTTAGCTCCTTCAGCACCGCTTCCACTCCTTCTGCACCAAAGCGTCGGATCCCTTCTTTTACACCGTACTGCTTGGTTGCATGTGTAGCCTCAAGATTGTTATAGTTTGCGATTGCATTTGCCACTAACATAATACTCGCATCATGCTCAGCAAGCTGCTGCACTCCCTGCATGTAACCTGCAGTGAAGAATGATCTGGCACGGGTTGTACTTTCAAATCCCTCTTGTTCTGTGAACTTGTTATGTGATTTGGTTACCCTTTCCCGGAGTCGTGAGCTGACTGGCTCGACCACCTCCTCCACTACATTGTCAGGCTCATTTCCTCCCTCCTCGCCTGGTTCTTCCGCATCGTCATTTGCATCAGTCTCCATCACGTCCGCCTGCTGTTTCTCAACATGGGGGTCCTCTTCTAGGGTGTCGGGATCAACATTGGTAACATCTATCTCATCTCTCACGCCTGCATCGACATAACCACTCAGCTCTGTCTCCACTGATCCACTGTCGTCGGGGTTGTAAGACCTGTCCGATGCATCATCATCATCCAAGTTTGGGCTGTCATCCAGGTCAAGAATTGTTGTGTTTCCATTGGCGTCTCCAAAGTAGACCCCTGTGGGCATCTCCTGGGCCTCAGCCACCCGTGTTACTTGCTGCAGGATTGCTTTGGTCAGGGGTGTTGGTGTAGCATGCTTTCGATGGATCCTCTTACAGCTGTTTATGTCAAAAGCATAGAAACCGCCAGTGATTGATCCAGTGGGCCTCAGGTACAAAGCATCCACAGCCCGTGGCTTCATTGTATTGTCGGTATCATCAACATGTGCTAGGATTGGTTCCATAAACTGGAACTTACAGTCCTGGCTCGCGTTTAGGCACACTCCTGTCATGATCTCCCTAATTGACTTGGTCCTGTGTACTCCCGTTGTCCGGCAGTTCAACCAGTATGTCGCCGCATAAATCAGCTCAATTAGACACCGTCTTGGAAGCTTCTTGAAAGGCAAGTGGTTCACGTAGCATCGCACACTTTCCTTTAGTGTTCTATTGCTGCGTTCAATGGTTGGCTCATGCTGTCCTGCTGCAACACAGCACACATCCACTGGTGGTGATAGCCTTAGGAGGTCATCCCGCAAGCACTCAAACTGGTTATCTCCACTCACTTGTGTTACTGTGAATCCTCTGCTCTTGTATTGCCCAATCAGGCTCTCCACGCATTCTAGCAGTGTACTTTGCTTCACATTGGTCACTGCTCTACTGGTCCGGAAACGTAGGTGTCTTGATATCGAATGGAAAAACTGTATCCCATTCACTGTCATTATATCCACATGGAGCATTACTGTCCCGTATCTGTCGAGCACATCTGTTGGCACAGGTGCTACATCCTCCCGGATGTGCTTCCCTTGCCGTCGTACTGACTTCCCTTTTACGATGCTGGTGTGCTTGCCGTATATTGCCTCCGCATTCAGTATATCCCGGCGTGTAACCCCACAGTTGGTCACCAGCTTGTTTTCAACCATGTACACTAAATCCTTGGTTGTTGGGAACCCCATGGCTTCCTGTAGTTTCCTTGCTTTGATTGCTCGCCTGCAGTCAAGGTCGGAGAACTCAGTCTGCCTGCCTTCCACTGATGTTATTGTGAGTATTGTTCCGCTGGTTTGTGCCATGTCACAATAGTACAAGTTACACTTGGATCTTTTGAAGCGTCTTGTTCCTCCGCTAGGCCTGTGCACATATAGTGCATTATCACAGTCTGTATCCATGGTCACCCGGAAACGATCAGATACTAGGGCAAGTGAGAGGACGTTGGCTATTCCTCCTTTGTAATACCAAACCCTTCCGAACCCTGGTAACTCTGCAATCATGTTGGTCTTCGCAATCCCTGAGTTACAGTATATGTGCATGGTCTGTCCGTTTGGTGCCACCCTAATGTTTTCTAGTAAGTTTGGGTTCACGATGAGATTACATGATGATTCACTATCCAGTAGAATCCAGTTTGGGTTCACTCCTCCCTTACTGTGCCCATCAGGCTGCGCAAACATTCGTTCCACTCTATCACTGTACTGGAACGTGCTTCTGATCTCCTTGTCATTTTCCTTGTTCCCACTCCTCACGTCTGAGGATAGGTCAATGTTGGTGCTGTTCGGTGTGTTTAGCACTCCCTTTTGAAAGAAACAGTTCTCTTCCAGGTTCCCAAAATCCTCGTCATCCTCCACCGCTCGCATCAACAGTTGGTGACTGGTCAGCTGGACCTCACCTTCTTCGTCTCCATCCTCATTGCCCTCGGCCGTTGTAACTGTGCCGGCTGTAACAAATGTTGTTGATTCATAGTGCTGTGTCCTTCCTCCTGGCCTTCCCCCGGCCTTGTTCTTATTTCCTGTTGCATTTCTTTTTCTGCTCCCTTCAAAGTGATTGAGCATGTCCACTGCTTCGGTGGTGTCTGATGGATACGTGTTGGTGCCCAGGCTATATTGATTCTCCAGCGTCTCCTTAAGTATGCTGTTATCCTCATTGCTACCTTCGATGACCAAAGTCGCTAGTATTTGCTGTGTTGCTGACCTGTCGATGCTCTTTTTCTTACTGTCATCTTCATCTAGCTGTTTATACTCCTTGTAGGTCATCTCATCGTGCATCTCACTGTTGATTTCCAGCTCATACTTAATTGCTGCTGGGCACAAAATGTCACCCCCGATAGCCTCCAGCACATCACATTGCTGTGTAATTGTATCCACATAATCCACGCTATCGGATGCTCGCTGCCGCGAGCATATGAGCTTCCTCATTGCCCTGATGATGTTGGTTAGTGGGTGTATCTTTGCCCTATTCCCTTGGTAGTATATATCCCGCAGTAGTGTGAGTAGACCTACGGGACATTTCATCTTGTTGACCTCCTTCCACTTGCTGCATCCTCTTAGTCTTTCCTTCATTCCTTTGTCAACTTGTCCAAG